AGAACGTGACGATTCGCTTGAAAAAGTTTAAAAGTCAAATTTAATGTATTGTTTAATCTTAAAACATTTCAATTATTGATGATGCAAATGAAATATGATTTCTATATCAGAATGTCAGCAGCAACACCTTTACAATATATGGAATTGTTTCAAATTTATTGCCTACAAGATAAATGTTAATTAAATATTAATCAAAGACGCCGCAAAATGATGTGAACAGTCACAGGCAATGTACAAAATCAGCCTTAACAATTGTTCTCTATTACAGTTGAATATCCGAAGCACTAATCAAGTTTTCTTCATGTTCTTGGTATGTGCTCGTTGTCTAATAAGTTGCGTTGTTTTGTGAAAATGCAAAACCTTCTACATAAATTCACAAAGTAATGCCAGGTCTGAAAATCTGAAATATTTGTCTTTTGCGACAAAGATTGAAAGGTCTGGTCGAAACAAAATCAGTTTGATAGCAAGTAAAATGAAATGATTGGTTAACTTTAAATTAAATTCAAGATTAAGACAGAGGTAAAGATCTCCGTTGCGCCGAGAATATGTCCATTTAAATATTTAGCTTAGTAGGAACGAAGGCCTACGATGCATGTCAGGAAGGTTTTTTTAAACCAGGCTTATTATGTTCTTGAATGTCTAAATTTGAAAAAAAATCTATGTTCTCAGAAAATCAAGGGTTCCCACGTTGTCCAAATTCAAGATGGCCGCCAAGATGGCCGCCAAAAATTAAAGAAAATACCATTTTTGCTTAAAATACAAATACAACACTCTTTTTTCACCGTTTGAATTCATTTTTTTATCAAAATGATCGGAACTGCGTAGAATTTCGGATATATAAGCAAAGTTTCACTATAAAAAGCGTAACTTTTTGAAAAATGCCTTAAAATATGCCAAAAAGGGGGTAAAAACGTGTCTTTTTTGGCATCTGGCTGCTTCCAATTCGGCTCAGAAACTTATTTTACCTCTTATACTATATTTTTTCACATTTATTTACAGATATATGTTGACCAAGTACAAAGAAAAACATAAAGTTCAGATATGAAAGGAAATATGAATTTAAGGGACTCTCAATATAAGTCGGGTAATTACCTGAAAATACCCGAAAATTACCTGAATAATACATGATGTATATATAATAATTTATTTCTATATATATAAGAGTTTTATTATAACTACAAAACATGTATGTTGTCATTGTATTTCTCTTTTAGTATTGTCTCGATATAAAAGTAAGTCAAAGCCATTTTTATAGATGGAAGGTAGATTCACAAATTACGCAGTTACTCCCCTTTGATATAATTAAGCCATGAAATCATCTGAAAGTTTCCAATGTCATTGAAGAACACACGAAGTTTACCGACGAATTTGCACAGATTTTTAGAGTAGATTGTACCAGAAGGTATGAAACATTAAAGCCCAGTATTTAATCTTTAATTCTCAAAGAATTTCTTATAATTTATTAATATAAAATGTCAGATTTTAATGTAGAAAGAAATGCACCAGAACTTCACATAAACAAAAGCTTTTGAGCGGTTGAAATGCTGCAAATTTGTAAAAATATTTGAGTATTAATGTTTATAGCTATGATGTATTATAAATAATCATTTTTGTAAAAATATGGACATTCTCTAAGAGGATCCCTGTTTAATTTTCTTAAAAAACTTGAGTAGTAGTCGGATGCATACAATATCCGGATAATTTGTTTTTTGCCCTCTTTAACAATCTGAAGGGGTTTGAGGACATATCATGTCAAGGTTTACATGTTTTTTTTGTTTTCAGGCAATGATTGAGGATAGCTATTCATACTGATAATTAATCTGACAAGTGGCTGTAGAGTCCCAATGCACCACCATGTTGACATGGTACGTGCCATAAATGCATTATAATTTATTCTCATCTGTTTAGAAGGTATGTTGTGTACCTTGTTATTTTTATTAAATTAGATTACCCCTAAACATTGATAATTATTATTAACAAGTATAAAAATAATTGCATTTACAACATAGAAGTTATTTGAATATAACATATATAATCATTTATATTTATCAATGCATGTACATGTAGGTAATGATAAAACTATTTATGTGGGACATTTCATATTTCTTTATATATTTTAATGTAACAGTATTTTAAATTGAATTTATACAAATATTTACTGTATAAAATATATTTGACATACTTGAAAACCATTCTGTCAGAATTACTTTATTTCAGACACTTCATTTGGCTTAGTCAGAATGGGACCTTAAATGAAGATGCATTATTGTACCGTATATGAAACAACACAAGAATGATCCAGAAGGTCAGTGTGTTTTTTCAAATGTGTAATGTCAATAACTTTTTCTGTAACTGTACAAATATAAATATTGTAGGTTTCTTTTCCTGAGGTGTTAGTATTAGACTTATATAAAAGAATAAAAGATAATTTACATATTATTGCTATTTTATACCAAAATAAAACCCTAAATTCCTATTTTTTTTTTGCTTTTAGAAGTAAAACTACTCTGCACATACTCCACTACTGAGCCCTGCCTTACAGGCCTTGTTCCCAAGCTAATGCCAGCTGAGCTGTGGATACACCAGTAAGTTTGAACATAAAATGTGTAATTCAACCATTGGAAGTGTGGGTTGGTTGATGTTGTCTCGCTCTCAGACAGTTTTAATAATTTATTAGAAATGTGAAAAATGTGCATTGAAATAAAATTCTTTATGCATTAAATTTGTAGAAATAATTGTTTTACCACGAAACAGGTGCAATTTAAGTCCACAATGCTAATTACTATACTTAACAGTGTCACAAAAACTAATTTAACTTTGTATTCAATGTATTCAATGATTAAAATACGTTTATTTTGGATTTTAATTTTGAATTTCCTAAGTAAAAAATAATTTTTGTTTTTTAGATATGTGGAATGCCTTCATCATCAATGACGTGTAGTGTTAAATATTAAACAAATGAGAAAATGTCCAATAGTAAAAAACGGAAGTACGACGAGCAGCTGAATATACCCACAGACTTTAGGTGCATTATTCACAACAGTGGACTTAGCAATCATGGTGACTGTGTAACACTAAATTCTACAAAATTAAAAGTCTCTGCTGAACAAAAACTAGATCAGCTGCACTCAATTCGCAACAAGCGATTAGCTGAACCATGTGACTCACCACATCGCATTCATGACATATGCAAGAGCATTCCTGCCTCATTATGTGGAATAGACCTGAACATCACTGGTTACCACCGTGGGTGCTACCAGGCCTTTACCAAAAACCTAGATAGGTTAAGTAAAGCAGAATGTACAAAACATTCTCAAAAACACCATTCACCAAGAATTTTTGCTAACTGTAGTAATCAGTTTCCACCAGAATGCATCTTCTGTAAAAAGTTGGAAGTGAAACCAAAGAAACATGCAAATACAGAGCGGTGTGTTCAATTCACAAACACAACATGGCACAAATTGAGTCGCAGGCTTTTGAGGTGGGCGATTTTGCCTTATATCGATTAGTACAAAGGTGAAGACCTGGTGGCCAGAGAGGCAATGTTTCATACTTCATGTCGGAAGGATTTTGAATTGAAAGTGTTTAACCTTTCTAAGCGCCAAAGTATGGGGGTTCAGTTAAAAATTCCCACACGTCAGAAAACCTTGCCCAACAGTCGGTACGCGATATGATTTCACAAAAAGTGGTTGTACAAAAGGAAGTAATTCCTCTAGCCTCGGTTAGGGACTTGTACATAACCGAAATGCATAACAATGGCTTCCCCAATATAAATTACAACAATAAAACTTGAAAGTGTGGTTGCAGTCGGATCCTATTGGACAAAAATATTGCTTTCACTAAACAGAAAGGTGCTGGTTGCATTATGCATAGTGTGGTATTTAGTGCCGACATGACTGTGCCAGAAGCAATTGCCAGTGGTTTCAAGTTGGGATCAAGTTCAGTTAAAGAGGAAGTAGCTACTTATCTCAGGAAAAGTGTGAAACAGGCATATACGGTGTCAAAACCGCTGCCATGGCCACCCACTGCCGATGACCTTGACGCTTTTTCCTCCGGAGGAATTGGTCCCAGATGCACTTCAAACATTTCTGACACAACTCGTATGTGGAGATTCTGCGGGGACTGAAAAGACAAGAAGAATCGTCCTATCAATAGCTCAGGTATTTTTTCCAGCATACCAATAAAGGACAGTGTCAATAAATATGAATTAAATTAAATTTATTTTTAACAATTTCATTTTATTTTGACTTCATAATAGCAATAGACAGGCAAGCAATAACATACCAGGGCCAAACCATTCAGTTACAGCAACCAAACTGATACCTGTTTTTGTTTCCTTTAAGTTCAAATATGTAGAAAAGGGAAAATCATTGCTCTTGCCTTGAATTGTAATATTGCATGTAGTAAAGTTCTATAGGAACTTCAAACCAAAAAAAATGAGAGTACAAACAGGGGAGACACCTTTTAAATGTAATGCTCGAGTTGATTCATGAGCATTAATTTGAAGTCTGTTTAATAATATTAAAAAATAATTTTAGAAAATTAAACAGTACTGGTGACCATTTGAGTTTCCAAAAAAAGCCCAACAAGAAGATTCAAACCCTTGACTAGTATCAAGCCTCATGTATACGAAACAAGTTAAATATCATTCTCAAAGTAATTTTTAATAACAAATTATTTGTTTTATTTCAGGACATTTGCCGCGCTGTTACGAATGGCGAATGGAAGATGCCGAAGCATATTTTGCTGAGCACAACAGTACGACATCTCTATCGAAGCAAGATCCTCACTACCATGTTAAGTCGGTTGGGGTCACAGTGAATCATATGATTATAGTTTAGAGCTTGAGACATCCCTAGCTAAAGCACTGAATGATTCTTCATCCAAACTCACACCACTTATTGTGACGGGCCCTGGAAATGAAGTCTTCCATGTTGAATGGGACAATCTGAATAAGATAACCACAAATATCCATGGTTCCAATGTGGTAAATAGTACTTATGATCCAAGAATTGAAGCCTGGATATTGTGCTACAAGTTCTGAGCGCACTCTCGGGGTCTACCAGCGCACAAAGGCTCGGTCTCTAAAGGTTGATGAACAAGAATGTCTACCACCCACTGCATTGACCAAACGGTGCGGACCAACATTTCCAAGGGAAGCTGTGTTCACAACACCACATGAGAACCATGACATGTACCTAAAAGCCCTTCTGGAATACAGAATTTGGTTTTTATCCAGGGTTGTTGGAAGCAGTGCAGATGAGCAGTCAGTTCCAGGATTTGGTGGATTCATTTCGAGTACTGGATTGCAGCCTTCACGGAAGTCTACCATTGACTACTTTACACCCATTGATCAGCCATTTACAGACTACGCTGTCATTGAAGCGCTTCTTGAACAGTCGGAGCAGGCTACCAAAGAGGTTGGACAGAAGTATGTTCTTTCAACGTTCGACCTAGGAGGATGCATGAAGGCACTCCCTTTGATATGGAAGTATCCAGAACGGTACAAATACCATGTGATCACGCCAGGAGCCTTCCACACCGCCATGAACTACATTGGCATGGTCACCAAGAACAAGTGTGCCGGGTCAGGGTATGGAGAGATACTGATCGAGGCTGGATTAGTAACAAGTGGTTGCATACAAAATGTTTTGAGCGGGAAGGCATACGCAAAGGCTCTGTTCTGCCTGAAGACCGTTACAGAGGCAATGGAGAGGTTACTGTTCGAACGCTTTGCTGAAAACATGGAAAGTGAATTGAACCCAACTCTCTTAATGAAACTGGTTTCAATTTTAAGCCGTGACACACTGAACAGTTTGCTTGACGACCAGTCTGTAACAGATTTCATTGATCAGTACATCAGCTTTGAAGATTCCGTGCGACATGGGGAACTAGGAAAAACTGCAATGTTCTGGTTGAGTGTTGTTGACCATGCCAGGCTTGTCCTCATGCTACTGTATGCTGTGAAAACAAACAACTTGGATCTTTTCCACCAGTGTTATGGTCAGATGGCTGTTCTTTGCATATGATGGACCAAACTACTCAAGGTAAGTCTTGTAATTTCAGTTTGAAGTTTACTCTGGTTAAATAAAAATACCTCTGTTAGCTATGTTAGCAATATTTGAAATACTGTTTGGAAAATATATTTAAAACAGAAAACAACAAAGTTTATAGTCATTACATGTGGATATGACCTACGACTACTTAAGTGTATAATTTAAAATATAGTGATCAACAACAATTTCAATACAAATGATCCTTGATAAATATTAATAAATTTTAGATGAAAGAAATTATAATTATTAAATATGAAATTCGTTTATCATTGCAGGTATCTGACATGGTTTGAGGTTTTTCTCACCAACATAGATCTTACTCATCCTGGGGCAAAGGAACTACTACAGAAAGGGGGCATTGCAGTGACGCGATCACTAATCCCAGGCTCGTGTAGTGCAGTCGACAAAACCATGGAGGAAACGTTCATGAAATTCACTAAATCAGCAGGTATGCACACAGGCCAAACATATCTGAAAATATATTTTGTCAGTTGGAGGTGTTTGTTATTGGAGTTGTAGTAAATAAGGTGTATGGTTTATATGTTTTAATTGTCGAGTTACGCTTCACCCGGAGCTAGGTGGAGAGAATTCGCAGTTTACTGTCACTTCCTTAAACCAGAACAATAAAACCGTTTTGGCGACAGTTTCTATAATCTTTCTGTTAGGAGGGTGGGTTCATTGTTTTGAGGGTTTTGCTACTTTACTTGTTTTAAATTTGCTACATTTCTTGTTTATGATTACTGTAAATGGAAAATTAAATTTGTCCAATTGCAGGTGGATTTACTGGTCTCTTCTCAATGTTTGGGGCGTACCAGCGGTGGTGTAGGACAACCTCTACGCGAGTACGATTTTATGAGAAGATGTTGGACATGTGCGGTATGGTGGAAGACGCAGATGCACCAAAGGCTGGACGCCATCGAGAGTTAGAACGGGCCGAAATAAGGAAGTCTGAAGAGGCAGTTGTCAGTACCATGACAGCTATCTGCAATTTCTCGAACCCGTTTAAGGCTACAAACAAAGAGCACTTGTACAGGTACTTTTCCTTATAAGTGGCTGTATTTTTTATGTTTTTCAAAATATTACTTACAATGATTAACCTAATAATACATATTTGTAATAACAATATATTTTATTAAAACAGTTTGGCTTCTGGAGCTCCAGTTCCCCCTGATGCTGAGCAAGATGTTCTTCGGGCAGAGGTGGTGGGAAAGGAAGCCAAGCAAAGATTCATAGCCGAAAGACTTACACACGGAGCATCGCCTATCAAGTTCTTTGACCCGATACCGAAGTCAAAATTAAAGTCAATGGAAGCTTCGAACAAGACAGTGAAACTTACTGCTCCCCAGGGAAAAGTAATAACTACGTCTTTCAAAATTTCTTTTGTGTCTCGTATTAAATTATTAAATTTTAAAATGTAAGTGTCGAATTACGCTGAACCATGAGCTAGGCGGAGAAGGATTGACAGCTGTCAGCCTCTTAAACCAGAACAATCAAAGCGTTCTGGTGACATTTTCATATATCTGTTGGGTGTCACTGTTTAGATTGTTTTGCTACATTATTTGTTGCTACATAAAGTTGACTTGTTTTACTTGTTTTATTTTAGATTTAATTATTTGTAATATATCCATTACAGGTGATTCAGTATCAAGAACAGAGCAACATAGCATTTATGCTTTTGGTAAAAGCTCAATCGTTGAACGAACAGTTGGACCTTGAAGAACTGATGCGGTTTCCTTTGACTCCCGTACCTCATAGCCTTGGTACACCTGATGGGTTCTTTTGCAAGAGCAACAAGGCGGCTTTAATGAATGCCATATTGCAGGATGTGCCACAAGCGACAACTCCTTCAGAATCCACCATTTACATCCAAGATGGTAATGCTCTCTTTCATGAGCTTACAAACCTTGCACCAACGTTTGGCGGAATATGTCTGCAGATTCTGGACATCATGGTTGCAAGGAAGAACTTTATTTTTTCGACGGACAGCTACTTCCAGAACTCTACAAAGGCACAGGAGAGAGTGCGCAGAGGCTGCAGTCGAAAATTCATCGTTGATGGACCTGCAACCCGTAGACCAGCGGACTTTAAAGAATTCCTATCCAACGATGACAATAAGACACAATTATGCAATCTTATTCTGCGTGTTTGGGGCAGTGAGTCAGCAGCATCCAGACTAGATCGATGTGGAACAGCAGTGGTGGTCGTTGGTGGAAGGGCTTACCAGTTAAAAAAGACAAATGGTGATGTAAGTTACAATAATGTTAAGCTTTATACCACAGTCTACATAAATTGTAATGTTACCTACTAATATTTTAGTTATTGTATACAAAAAATATTTTATCCAGGCAAAAATCTAGTGGTCGTTTTGTTTTCGTTTGCTTCAGGTGAGAACGGAGGAGATCTTCAGTTTAGTGTCCAACCAAGAAGAGACAGATACCAGAGTAGTTTTGCACATGCACTACGCATCAACGATTGGCTACCAGTCAGCTATTGTGCGTACACCCGACTCTGACTTATTCTTCATTACCTTGTTCCATGCACAGTCTGTACCACTGACAGTTTATCTCGACGTTGGTACAGGAAAACAGAGACAGGTAAAAATATATACCATGCATTAAACCTATCTTTAATTTCTAGTTACTGAATTTCATTAATGTACCAAGTAATTATTCCAACAGTATATACTTTTTTTAATCTAACAGAATGTATATATAATATACCAAGAATTAAAACTTAAAATAAATTAAATTTCAATACATATTTAACTTTTGAATGCATTAACTACTTTGTCATCTTAGGTGGTGAATATTAGTGAGCTGGCAGACTCACAAGGTGCTGAATACAGTGAGACTCTACTAGGACTGCATGTGTTCACCGGTGAAGATGTCACAAGTGCATTTAAGGGCAAGGGAAGGGTCACACCGCTCAGAAAGCTGCAGAGTAATCCTAAATACCACAAAACATTCAGGTAAAATGTTTGTAACTGATTAAAAAAATGAATTGTCTGAAACAGTAACACATTTCTAACAAATTATGACAGTAAATAAAAGTATAATAGTCATTACTTTTAACTGATATGTCTGTAGGATGCTGGGTGATACTTGGACAGTTGAAGAAGATGTTATGCAGATGTTAGAAGCGTTTGTCTGTGTGATGTATGGGTGTCCAAGGGAGAGGTCTGTGAACACATGTAGGGAAGTTCTTTTGAAGAAAATGGTAGGAGACGACGAACAGCTGACCATGAAGTCAAAGGTGGAATTATCCAAACTGCCACCTTGCCAGGATAATTTATGCCAACACATCAGAAGAGTCAACCATCGTCTCGGCATCTTGAAAAATGCTCATACACCAGTGATAGAACATCCGGAACCACATGCTGAAGGGCAAGGGTGGACCAAAAAGAACGAAGTGTTAGAACCATTGTGGGCTGAGGGTCCCATTCTTCCACCAACGTTAGTTGACCTAGTCGAAAATGTTCAAGCAGAGATGGAAGAAGAAGATGATGATGGTTGTCTAGAAATTTCAGTGTCAGATGATGATGAGTGACATTCAGTAACCGTAAACTTTTGTGGGAGATTAGTTATATCAGTGTATTTGTAAGATATTGTGTTATGCTGAGTCAACATCTTACTGATATTAATTACTATAGTTATAATCCGAACGTTTCAGAAATAGATTTTGATCCCCATGAATGTAATTATATAATGCAACTGAGGGTATTTTCTATTTTTTTTTTTACAATGTGTCAACATTACATTTAATTATTAAAAAGTTCACGTAAATTGATAAGTTCCTAAATCCTCACAAAACGAAATGAGGAAAATGTAGTTTGTATAATATCCCTCGCACTATTAATACTAAAGTATACAAACATGTTAACTAATGGTCAAAAGCATCATTGTGAATTGTTCGAGAATAACTGTGTATCTATGTATTTATTTCATTGGTGATTATTGCCCCACCCACTTTTAGAGATGGGCATTGTGAACAGTTAAATGTGACATATTCTGTTGTTTAAGAATGTCTTAAGAATGTCTTTTCTTCATTTTATTGTTGTATGTTCACATTGGACGATATATGGAAGAACATTTTGAGAGTTACGGTAAATTAAGAAATAAGTCGTTCCCGCGATTAAGAGACATTTACCATAAAAATGTGTTTTTGCCAATTTTGCTGCAAAACGTTAACCTTAAGTTTTAAAAAAAAATTGTTACTTCTAATAAATTACTGAGAAAATATGGAAATGTCACAAGAAAGATAAATAATGTTTTGGAATTGACAGAGAAGACTTCCATAACTTGTATATATAATTATGCAGGTTTTGACTTTTTTTCATGTAATTGTATGTAATTACCCCACCCACTTTTTTTGCTGCACTTTGTTAAATCTGACATCTGTACTTTTAAAAATATTTATATCTTTGTATGCTATTGTATTTTGATGATTAAAGATAAACTCAACAATTTAATGAGCATTTATGCAATTTTAAAGGTAAGATTGAGATGGGCTTTTCATTAAAAAATGAAATTTTCGGCCATTTTTAAGGCAAAAAGTTCACCTTAATGTGTGAAAAAATAAGTTTGCACCCTTTAATTACTAAAAAATAGATTAGGAAATCTCAAGAATGATTAAAACCATGCATAGAAATTGCTGTAGAAGACCTATATACTTTTTGATGTATTTTAAGTACATGGCGTATTTTTCACAAAATGGATGGCACTTACCCCACCCACTTAAATAGTCCCTTAAACTAAAATTTAACTTTTTATCTAGACTTAAATATTTTTTTTCAAATTCTTTATCATGTATCTGTAAAAAAATGTGAAAAAATATTGTATAAGAGGTTAAATAATTTTCTGAGCCGAATTGGAACCAGCCAAATGCAAAAAAAAACACGTTTTTTACCCTTTTTAAGCATATTTTAAGGCAATTTTCAAAAAGTTATGCTTTTTAAAGTAAAAAAATTGCTTATATATCAGGAATTCTATGTAATTCCGATCATCTTGATGAATAAATGAATTTAAAATGTGAAAATGAAGTGTTGTATTTGTATTTTAAGTAAAAATGGTATTTTCTTAAATTTTTGGCGGCCATCTTGGCGGCCATCTTGAATTTGGACAACGTGGGAACCCTTGATTTTCTGGGAACATAGATTTTTTTCAAATTTAGACATTAAAAAACAAAATGAGCCTGGTTTAAAAAAACCTTCCTGACATGCATCGTAGGCCTTCGTTCCTACTAAGCTAATTGGTGTGAATTGCATAATGTTCGAATAATTTTGAGGGCGAACTGTTCTTTTATTTTACAAATAGCAAAAATATGTCTTTAATATCAAATAATAGTTATGAATCGATTGTTTAATATAACAATTCTTTGTAACGTATTGTTTACTTATTTATAAAATATTTAACTACTTGATTAAACACAAGATTGCATATTTGCCCGGAATATAGGTACAGAACCAATGAATCTAGACAAAAAGAGCAATCATCACAGAATCCTGCAAATTCGGTAACCTATTGCAAAAACATATAATACATTTTAAATCAAACTTACTTTAAACACTCAGTTAATCTGTTTTATAACTTAAATGTTAATTGTTTTCATGAATAAGCATAAGTTTTGCCCTTTTTTGCAAAAAAAAATATTTCCGTTACGCCCGTAAGCGTATTTGAGTCATACCTTGTTCCCTGTCCGAATTTGGTTCACGTCAATAGAATAGAGACTTGCTCATTGACACGTTATTTATTAAATAAATAAAATTGGAAAATGATAAAAAGAATATGATATTCAAACATGGCACTTTAACTATAAATAAAATTTATGTTAATACCTTTATAGTTGGTGACATGTTGTTCATCAGAAAAGCTATTTTTATTAAAAAATTTGAAAACAGTTTTAAAATTTTATTTTAAACCAAAACAAAAAATACCCCAAAAAAGAATAACATTTTCCCCATTGCAGAAAAGACGAGTGTACGAGGGTGCATCAATAAATTTGTAAACTAATTCAATAGAATTAATTCAAGTACCTAAAATGATTACTCCTTCTCAAAGGAAGGTCCAATGCATGATTTGCACTTGTCCTATCTCTCGACCCATGACTCGAACACGTGTTGTAGGCTGTCATGTGACATCTCCCGCAAATTATTGCTTTTTTAGGGAAGGCGAGGAATGTTGCTTCCAGACAGAACTCTGACGTTTGCTTTCCGGTTCAAAAAAGTGAGTCCACGTTTTATCACATGTTGTCACTCGATTTAGAAAGTAATCGCCTTCTTCACGATACCTCCTGTCGTACTGCTGACACATTTTCACCCTTACCCCCATCTGCTCCGACGTCAACAAACGAGGCACCCATCTTGCTGAAACGCGGCGCATTCCTAATCTATCAGTCATAATGCCCTGAGCTGTACCATATGAAATAGCGAACTTATCTGCTACGTGCTCCACACTTACTCGTCTATCTCGGAGTATGTACTCCTGAATGGCAGCCACTGTTTCTTCATCTGTTACAGTCACTGGTCTACCTGCACGACTGTCGTCTTCAGTTGCCTCTCTACCGTCTTTAAACCGCTTCATCCACTTTGAAATGGCACCTTTTGACAGAGCAGCCTCTCCGTAAACTTTTTGCAAATCTTCACGAATATCGGAAAAAGACTTTCCGAGTTTTGTGTTAAACTTTATTACGATGCGCTGTTCGTTGACGCTGTGCCACGCCATTTTCGAACGGACGCTCGTAACGTGACGTCATTTACGGTTTTGTTCATAGTACGATTCAATTTGAAAATTAAATAATCTGTTTTCACAGCATTTAAAGTTTCATTTTAAACAACCCAGTAGTTTTGACGCTATTGATTTAGTTGACGAATTTATTGATGCACCCTCGTATATCTATCTACTAGTAGCCGCGTGCATTCGGCGTATAATTAAAATCTTAATGCATTGCTTTATCTTTCGAAATATCTTGACTGACAAATGTAAAATATTTGCCTGAAAGGGAGACAAAGGCAAAATTTTAATTTCTTAGTTTTGAATTTTTCATTTATTATTCTGTAACTGCCCTCAAAAAGGAATACATTAGACAGTCAAAGGAACAAAACTGTTCTCCATATAAAGAATAAAATGGTGGTTTCCTAACTTGACCCGCGTGGGTGAGGTTACAGCGCTAAGATTTCACAATAGTTGTCACAGTGAACTCTGGAAACGTTAAAGAACATGTCAAATGAATGAATTTGACTTTTTTAAATCATACAATATCCACAATATCTGTTATAATTGTAATTTCAAGGGTTTGTTCAAGTCAAATGACTTGTTTTTAACCTATTCTGTGATTCTTTTGGCGTCTAATTTTGTTCAACATATATAGATATATTTTCGTTTATACCCAAAATATATATAATTTAAACAGAAATTCATGTTATTTATTTATTATGTCATTTTAGCGTGATTTGATAGCATACGATCATTTTAATATTATTGTCATTATTTTGCCCGAATATACATAAGACAAGATTATTTTCCTAGTTGTACTGTATAGTTTTTTGTCGACATTAAAAACAAAATTGTCTACCAAATCATGTCACTTATATTGCCATTAAAATACAGTCCTATAAAGGACCATGATTTTTTTTTCAAATGAAATTTATACTTAAAGTATAATTTTGATTATACCCGTGCAGGCAAAAAGTATAATTTTGATTATACCCGTGCAGGCAAATAGAGAATATGTTAAACTTGTAATCATTCGTATCTTGCTGCCCTTCATAGATTATAAGATGCATCTTATATTTCCCAATTTTACTTTCAGAATTACACAAATGTATTCCTTACGTATGATTGATGTTTATGTTTCATGACAAATGATAATAAATCAACAAACAATTAAATGTATATCAATGGAAAATGTTCGAATTTGCCATCAATATTACGCTTGTTACTTTATATCAAATTAAATATTACACCTTTAATTGACATTTACAGTTACAAAAAACGAAACAGCAAATCAGAGGAAATTATCAAAATTGCAGCACGCTTAAAAATTCTTCAGTATATTGTGATCCCATGGTAGTTCATGGGGGTTAACTTTCAGATCTAGTGTTTCTATATTTTGTAGTTAAGTTTCTATTGTTTATCAGACTTTTTTATTTTTTCATAAAGGCAAAGAACAAAAATCAAAACCAGTGGCGTGAACATTTTGTTCAAAATCTTAAATGTTTGGTTATCTGCCCCTGATCACGAGTGTTAAATTTTAAAGGGGAGATGGTAACTAAAAACGGCAAGCACCAATAACGCCTTGCCGTGGTTATAAAACGTTCGGGGCATTAAAGTATTAATTTCAAAAATCTTTTTATCATTTCTATTCTTATTTCAATATCTTTTAATTGAATCTTTATTCCTGTGTTTAAGCAACAGCTAGAGTCTACTTAATTTTGCATAATCCCTAGTAGGACTAAATAGTTGCATGCTTTCCTAAGGAAAAAAATAGTTTTTATATTAAATAAAATGTCGGACATTCTATAATTAACATTCAATATAAATAATGTGTTCCTAGTACCAATTATATCAAATAAATTACCCGAATGAGATGAAATATTTACTGAGGAACGCAAAATTCTTGCCGAGGGTAATATACCGGCATGTATACTATTCCATGGCTCTATCCGACCGCTTACACATCATCTCTTCTAAAAACTGTGTCGACATGATTAAAGTGCGTATCAGGTTAAAAAATAAATGTATCTGAATTATAAATGAAACACTAAACGCAATGAAACCGTCGTGAGAAACCGAGCAAATGAATAGCACTTTATGTATCGGAAGTATAACTGAATAATAAATCATATGTAATGTAACCGGATGTGGATTTTAGAAAAATAATGTGTCTGTCTTTGTCTATCCATCTGTTCACATATGTTCGTATGAAACGTTTTCAATAACTTTAAAATGCGAAATTTTTAAATAACATTATGAGACAACGAGCATGTTGCTACCTCAAAGCCAAGACCAACTTATAAAAAGTTAGCATTGTTGGTCCGCTCCATAACTTAGCTACTAAGAAAATATATTTTAAATTTGTTTTGCATAAAGTGTGTATAGTTTGTTTGTTTGGGTTTTACGTCACGACGACACAGTATAGGTTCTTTGGCGACGTTCAAGCTTTACTGGTGAAGCTGGTGAAGGAAGACCTCAGGTACCCTTCCTTGCATTATTTCAGGCATGAACGGGCATAAAGTGTACATAGTAGTGAATAATTAAGACCAAACAACGATTTGTATTTAATTTTATTTTCGTATAAAGTGTGCGTTCAGTGCAAGAACTTCAATAAGCCAGGTTGATGATTCGGATTGCAGTTTGTGTCTGTCGTTCAACCACATGTAAGATATCGTTAAAATTTTTGTAGATTTTAAAGAGTTTGTATTCAAAAAGATGCAGGGGAACTGGATAATATTTTCATGTTGAAAAACTGTTCATTATAAGAAATAACAAAATGATAATAAGACTTCGTGTAATTAAACGTTGCTTGTCTTGAAATAAAATGGAAAACATCATCAGAACACTTTGATGCTATCCAAATATATTAAGTTCATTTTTAAAACGTTACGCATTCTATTTAGTAAGTACAGTTTTTAGATCGTTGATGTAAAAATAGAGATCATTCATGTCAAAATAGAAAAACAAAATGTAATGAAATGGGATTTAATGCTCAGTAAAGTCAAATATTCTAAACCTTTCGATATTATAATCTTAGAAAACATTGATCGTTGTTAGTCATCGTGATTATGATCGATCACGTGAACGTTTTAAAAATTAGTCAAGATAAATAATAATTTATTCAACTGAATATCACCCAGGGCAACTAATTATTGTTTAATAAGCAAGTAAACAGGTTCGTTGTGTTATCCTCCCCCAGGTAACAGATCATTGTTTAATAAGCCAGTATACATATTCGGTGTGTGATCCTTTCCTTTTTTGTTCATCAACGACAATTGTTAACTTTTACATCCTAATAGGAGCAATATATCCGATCCTGCAAAGAAATCACGAAATATTATCTGAAGATGTTGATTCCTGCGACACTTTACTCTATGTTACTGAGTAGAATAATTCTTAATAAAATGTCATGTTGTAAGGGTTTCGTTTCAAATATCTTTTCCATTATTAATATTTCTTCACAGCCAATAAAGATTAAGTTTATGTTTGCTGCGTTGCTGTTTATGGACAAATCTGTTGCTTCTTGCTTATGTTAATGTTGTTTTTAATCTCTATTATCTGAAGCATTTTTAATTTTATGCATAAGATATTTGTTTGTTGTTTAATGTTCTAAATACTTGAAGCAAAAATGCTCATCAGTTAAACATATTCCCTGCCACGATAAATGAACAATACGCATCAAGTTCAAAGTGACAGGGACGAATTAATAGACATACTTTCAATATCTGAATTATATATGAATCACTTAACTCAATGATTTTGTCGTAAGAATGACAATTACAAGAAGCAATATATCTGTCAACAGAAATTGATGATACGATTATCAGTCACTGGAACACCAATCTTGTTATTCATATCACAGACTTCTTTAAGCAATAGACAATAAGAAACTTGCAAATTCTATATGTATTGAAAAATAAAAGTAAACGCGACAAACGACAAATTTGATATTGTTACAGGGCTAATTCCATTGCGCCTGCTTGTTTATTTACGGTATTGGTACATGTAACCTAATGTCCAAGCATTTTAGTACCGACATTTAAATCATAGAATTGTGAAATAATGTACAGATTATTCTATACGTTGATTATCATAGAACTTTAAATATGACACGTTGGTGACAGACATGTAATGTTTTTGACAGAGGGATTATGACTTATTGGATGTTCAGATTTATAATAAGATCAAAAGTATTTAGCCTGCCGGTGTAACAAAAATAGATAACAATAATCGTTCTAATGGATTTTGATCTTGTCTCTGATAGAGCAAAAGCTACACGAAGACAAAATACGCTCTCTTTACAATTTTACATGGTTCGTTTAAGGGTTGGCTCTTTGTGGTCAACATACCATTTTTGAAGAAGATAATTAATTAACTGTTTCGGGTTGTTTATCCGCTGTTCATCCATGTTGATCGTTCATGTCGATCCGTTACATTACAATCAATTTGGTCCTGCATGTGTATTTGGAAACACCTTTACTGCGATAATTTGCTCAAGGCTACTTTTCATAATAAACCGTAAAAAGTGTTCTTTTATCAGGAAATCTTTTTCAAACATTTCTATAATAAAATTTTATAAGCAACGTACAAGAAGCCAAAGGGCATCTTAGTTTAAAAATTTATATGTAAATGATTAATTGAAATTAAAACGAATTGTATAAATATTTGTCTTTACAAGGGGTACTGGTACTATCTTTCCAAACTTAATGTAACAAATGAAAGTGGGCAATATATTTCAGTGTATACTATATATTGACGAAAGCAATAAATGAAATGATATTATATTTTGATCTCCTCTGTAAATTCACTAAAACGTGACAAAATTTCTATCAAGAAACCGACATGCTTATATGCTAATTTAAATACTAGTAATATATTTATTCTCCATTGTTTGTAGCATGCATTTATATCATGTTTGTTGTTCCTGAAGGAGAAATATTTGTCGCAAATGATATTACGATGAGTCTAGATTAACTCGAGTCGTTATCTCCTAGCGATTTTGACAAATA